AGAAGATATCATCTTAAGGTTGTAAATTTTATTGTGTATATAAAGCTCAAGAAGATGACTTAAGAAAAGACGGTAAAATGAAAAAAATCGAGACACGTAAAATACGCTCTTCTTCAGATGAAATTGCCCCGTAAAAGTACACATGGTTAATGACAAACGCTTCCAAGATACAATGACTTTCGACTTGTATATAGCGATATTTTATATATACAAGCCTTCGACAAACAATACTATTGACTAAAACTCTCAAGACTTGGCAAAAAAAATCAAAGGACACAATATGTTATACAAACTTTAAAAATATAATACAAGAGCTCATTTTTCATGAATGATTCCATGATTCCATGCTTGTGGGTATTTATACATGTAAAAAAACACCTCGAGGGGTTTAAATGTATAACTCAAAATTACATTAACTTTACTCGTTGTACAATCGATGAAACCACATTTATTAAAATGTATAACTCAAAAAGAAATGCCTCAAAATGGCAAGCAAATTTGAAGAGGAATTAAATCTATTAATATCAAATCATACATTATAAGGACAAAAGCCATAACACAAACCATATTCACACAAATTCATCAAACTAGGCGCAAACTCATTCAAGAAATTCCAACCAGAAAAAGTCAACACGCAAATACACACACTCACACACAGCTCTACAAAGTATAAACAGCGGTGACCCGGTATTCTCAAGCACCAATACCGGTCCGACCGGTAAATCTCGAACCGGCCGTTTCCCCAACATGGAACTGTGATGCATATCTCTGAGAACCGCCTTCCGATGCAATTACCGGCGGTTCATTCAGAAATGCCCAGTTACTGCTCACCCACCTGAAATTAATTAAACCAAATCAATAATTAAAAAATAAAAATAAAAATAAAAACATTAAAGTAGAGAATTAACATAAACATAAGAATTGTTCAACATTACCAGCCATTTTTCCGTATTATTTTATCAAGTCCCGCTTCACTTTCACCACCTTCTTCGAGTAGAATTTTCTACATATAATTTATCATATGTCAATTCTTATATCAAGATGATAATAATAATAATAATAATAATAATAATACCTTGCTGCGGGGTGAGAGAAGAGAAATATCCTTCAAGTGATCCTCCTCTGTTTGTCTCTTGGATTTCCAAAAGGCTTCAATTTCTTCCTTTGTTAGAGATTTATTCCTCCTATACTTAACTGAAAGTAAAGGCACATAAATAAATAAATGCTAATTATTGTAATAAAATATTGATAACAAATTAGGCAAACACACAAAAAATAGTCAAATTGCACTAACCAAGATTTGGATCTGAAATAGGAGAGTCCCAACCTGCCATAAGAGAACCCATTTGTGGAATTGCTATTGATAAAACACTCACAAACTGAGATACTTGTTTAGAGTATAGTGTGTCACAATTGTAGCTTTTGTTTTTAGATAATTATTGAAGAGTTAGACAGTTTATGATATAGAAGGAGTTTTAATAATATTTTAGTGTATGGTGGGCACATCGATGACATTATTTTAGTCCATTTGATCTTATCTTTAACACAAAAGAAAATGTATATCTTAGTACAAGCATTAACTTAGGGATAAAACCTTGGACTTTGGATGCTGGTTTTCTGTATGGCTGATAGATTTTTCTAGTTGCCCAAAGATTTCCATTGTATACTTTATATATTTTTAAATATTATATATTTTTAAATATAATTTAGGAAATATTTTGAACAGACCATTTACGAGGTGGTTTTATGGACATCATCTCTACAAAAAAAAATTGTTATATTCCAACTGAAAAATTGTTATATTTCAACGGATATTCCAATGGTATAGCTTCTATTGGAATGATACTAATGGATATTTCAACGAAAATATTCCGTTGGAATGTATTTTTCATTGAAATTTTAGATGAAATTGATGATTCCAACGGCTATATTTCCAACGAATTTTGGCCGTAGGAATTTCAGTTGGAATATGCAATTTCCGTTGGAATTTTTATTTCTACCACCATGGGAAAATCTATCGTTGGAATCATCAAATTTCAACGAAATATTTTTCTTGGAATTTCTTGAAAAACTCATTCCAACGGAATATTTTTGTTGGAATTTCTGTTGGAATTATTCCAACGGAAATAATAGCATTGAAATATCTTTTGAAATTGTCGTTGGAATTTTATTGGAATTTCATCTTTTTCTTATAGTGGATAGAGGGTAAATCATTCCAAAATTGTAATGACATGGTTTTATATATGCGTTAGGTGTAATGTTTTGAAATTTAGATTGTTCAATATTTAATTTATCAGTTTATTTTGTAAAACATATATAAGTTTTGTAGATAGGATTTTACGTCATATATGAATATAAAACATATGTGCATTTAAAATTTAGAATATGAGTGATATATAGTAACATATACAATATGTTTAGGACACCAAATTAAGTTGATGATTATATATCAATGTTTTAAAAGTCGTTAGACGTCCGCTAGGTGCCTAGCACCTAGAGCGTCCAGGCGGCACCTAACATTACAAAAAAAATGATGGAATTCCAATGGAAAATTCCAACGGAAATATATTCCAATGAAATCCTAACAGAATTTTTAATGATATTCAAATACTATAATTTCCGTTGGAATATTCCTCCAACAATAATATTCCGCTGGAATGAGTTTTCTATTGGAATTTCTGTTGGTTTTTTACGATTTCAACGGTGGTGGAAATAAAAATTCCAACAAAAATTACATATTCCAACGGTAAAAAAACCATTGGAATAATCAATTTTCATCTAAAATTTCAATGGAAAACTCATTCCAACGGATTATTTTCGTTGAAATTTCTGTTGAGATATACCATTAGAATATCCGTTGGAACTTCCATTGGAATATATTACCGTAGAATTTTCTGTTGGAATATAATAGTTGTTTTTGTAGTGTAAAATTAAGATTAACTATCTTTTTTTTATTTATTTATTTTATTTTCACTACCTACAAAATAAAACTATCTCAACTTATAATAAATTCACACATATAACTCCAAGTAACAATATTAATATATTATAAAGAAAACATGATAACAAAATAATATAATTAGTATTAAAAAAAACTGAAAAATTGTTGCTGAGGCCACCTAGGAGCGCTTAGGCCGTTTAGGCACCATCTTGCTGCCGAGCTCGCCTGGCTCCGCCTATAGCTAGGTGCCCTAACCTATTTTTTCAGTTGATTCATTTAAATTGGAAGCGGTCGAGCGACGCCTAGTGTGTATATATACATATTTATGTTATAGATGTTATATTGTTTATGTATTTGTTGATTTATAGTTGATATTATTTTTTTTTTTTTTTTTTGGTACAATGAAAGAGTTCAAAACACCTAAGCTAGAACTAGTCGGGGGTGCGACACCCCCATATTATCGTGCTCAAGCCATTCTCCGAGGCTCAAAGGTGGGGAAGACACACGCTGTAGCCCAACCGGGTATGACGCCGCCAGGGCCGCTAAATGATCCGCCGCATAGTTTGCTTCACGATGTACGTGCTGGATCCTAATGTTCCAATGTCGTTGAATTAAGTTACGAATGGCGTTGATCATCGGGTCATGAGGTCCAACACTGTCCTCCGATCTAGATACCATATTCGTCACACTTAGACTATCAAGTTCAACAATAACTTGTCTATAACCCTTGTCCCATGCCAACTGTAGCCCGTGAAATAGTCCCCAAAGCTCGGCTCCCGTGACGGTACACGACCCAATATTGAATAGAAACCCCTCAATCCATCTGCCCAGTTCGTCTCGAATTAGTCCGCCCGCACTGCTCAATCCCGTGATTCTGTCAAATGCACCGTCCGTGTTCACTTTAATCCAACCCGGGCCCGGTGGAGTCCAATGGATCAGACGAGTAACATACGTGGCAGCTCCAACCTTCGCATAGGCCGCCGCTGCGCGGGTGTAGTTGTCAGTGAGGCTCACGATCTCCATTTTCTTTGCGTTGTTGTTAAGAGAATAATTTGTAAAAATTCTCTCATTCCTCCATTTCCACAATCTCCAAACCGCAACAGAAAAAATACTGCTCCATCTCTCAAATGCTCCCATTCGAACTTTGAGAAGATTACTACGAACCCATACCTTGAGGGGCTGCTGGAAAAAAGCTCTCTTGTGCTCGGTTTGTAACAAAAGCTTCCAAATAACCATGGCAAGGGGGCAATCTCTTAAAACATGGAGAACCGACTCACTTTCGCCACAATGGTCGCACGCCTCGGACACCGCTATATGACGGCGCACTCTTTCCCGATTAGTAAGAAGACGTTCTTTAACTGCAAGCCACAAAAAGGTACGAGCACGCTGCGGTGCTTGAATTCGCCAAATGATCCTCCAAAGGGTCTGGTCCTGGTCGTTCACTTGAGCTGACAGGGCCCTGTATGCGGTTTTAGTTGAGAATCGGCCATCGTCGGAATATCCCCATATAATGTGGTCGTCGCCCGCCGACGCCCTCGGGGGGAGGGTACCTGCAATTCGTAGGATCACAAATGATGGGAGGATGGCATGAAAAGACTCCCATTTCCAGCTCCCGTCGTCACCTACAAAATCCGCAACCTTCGAAAAAATATTCAAATTGTACGACGGGTAGTTAACAAAACTGATTAGCGGCCCCTCCGATCCTAGCCATTGATCGAGCCAGAAACGAACCCTTGTACCGTTTCCCAATACCCAGCGAACTCCGCGCACCACGTGGGGCCATACTGTTCGGATGGCTCGAATGAGGGTAGATCCTTGTCGGCCCTGAAATGTTTCCAAACTATCATGGGAATGTAACCCATATTTCGCCGTGAGGACACGCACCCAAAGTGCATCAGACTTTAAAATTAATCCCCACCCCAATTTCATAAGTAGGGCATTATTCATGCGTCGGAGATCCTTGACCCCGAGACCCCCCTCACTCTTCGGTTTGCAAATATCCTTCCAGGCCACCAAATGTAACTTTCGTCGATCAACAGTCCCACCCCACACGAAAGCACGGCTCCTTCTCTCGAGCCCAGCCGTAGTAGCACCTGGTAACAATATGGTCTGCATAGAGTAGTATGGTAACGTATTCAGAACCGACTGAGTAAGGGTCACTCGCCCTGCCAGTGATAACGATTTCATTCTCCAACCGGCTAGTCGGGACTCCGTCTTTTCCAAGATATGGTTATATGTGAGTTTGGACACTCTTCCATGAATAATCGGTACTCCAAGGTATTTCCCTAAGTTGTCCGTTAAACTGAAATTCAAAGCAGCCGCCAATCGAGTTTGTTCGTGGGCAGTCACGTTTTTGGAAAAGAACACGTGCGTTTTCTCTGAACTCACTTTAAGACCCGAAACTGTACAGAACCGTTCGAGTACCTGCTTAAGAACCACAACTTGATCATCCGAGGCTTCCAAGAAAAGAAGTAGGTCGTCGGCGAACATCAAGAAAGGTATCCTAACAGCCCCTCTTCCAACTGAAATCGGTCGCCAGGCTAGTCCTTCGACCTTCTCGCATATCATCTGTGCCAGTCTTTCCATGCAAAGTACAAAGATGTAAGGGGAAATGGGGTCCCCTTGTCGCACCCCTCGGGTGGGTCTAAACTCCTCTCCAATCGTTCCGTTCCACAGCAAGTGCATCGAGGCCGAGCGAACACAAGCCATAACCGCTATAATAAATTTATTCGGGTACCCAGCGAGTCGGAAGGTTTCTTCGATAAAATCCCAACGAAGGTAGTCATATGCCTTCTCAAGGTCCACCTTGATTACCATAAACCCCTTCTTCCCTCGTTTTTCGCGCATAGAATGTATTAACTCTTGAGCGATAATGATGTTATCCGTGATCTGGCGGCCCGGGACAAAATTGGCTTGTGCTGGGTGAATCAACACAGACAGAGTACGCTTCATACGGTTCACCAATATTTTGGTGAATAGCTTGTAAACAACATTTAGCAAACTGATAGGCCGAAAATGCTTAATGGTGGTGACATTTTCTAGTTTAGGGATTAAGATAAGTAAGGTTTGATTTATCTTGTCCGGGACAACCCCGTCGATCCACATTTTTTGAATAAAGGTACTCACCGTCGGACCGACTATTTCCCAATTTTTTTGAAAGAATAGTGCGTTCAATCCGTCCATTCCTGGGGCTTTTAACGGACCCATAGTGTTTAGGGCTGCAGTTATTTCATCCTCAGTGATATCTTCTATCGTGTCATTCATATCACTTTCGTCGCATGTTGGGAAAAAGGCGGCCGACTCACCATGTGTCACTGGTGTGGGGCCTGCCGTATAGATATTCTTGAAAAACTCCGTTGCTAAATTGCTTAGAGCCTGTTGGTCCGTCACAAGGTGGCCGTCCGCATCTGCCAACTCGGTAATTTTTACATTCCTACGTCGGTGCTTAAGTTGCCTGTGATAATAGGACGTGTTTCTATCACCCAAAAAGGTCCAGTCCCTAGTAGTCTTTTGCATCATCAACAACTCCTCTTGCCGAATAACGTCCTCTAATTCCGTTTGTAGGTGTTTCTCTAATTCCGCCAGTCGTTTGTTGTAGTAGAATTGCCGACGCCTCTGAATACCTCCTAGTCGGGCCAACAATTTTTTCTTACGGCGGAAGATATTGCCAAATACTTTGAAATTCCATTCCTTGGCCTCCTCGGCAAATTTTTTTGCTGCATCCATATAACACATTGTAGGTTCCATGTGGCTTGCAACATTTCAGGAAAACCGGGGTGTAATACCCACGCTGCCAGAAATCGAAATGGTTTCACCCCATGTGACGAGTTGTTAGGCCTACGAAAATCCATCATCAGCGGCGAGTGGTCTGAACGAATCCTCGGAAGCAGTCGAGACTTGCCCATATCGAAATTCTCCAGCCATGGTAAATTTGCGACAAAACGGTCGAGTTTCTCAGCCACCCTTCCGTTTCGAGTGTCTCGTACCCAAGTGAATAGGTGTCCATCCGTTGCCACTTCCTGGAGGCTATTATTAAAAAGCCAATCAGAAAACTCTTGACTCACATTACAGAAATTCGAAGATCCTCCCTTTTTCTCGGACCGTCGAAGAAGACAATTGAAATCACCTCCGATGAGCCAAGGCTCAGAAATTCTAGTAGCCAGGTCCCCCAAGTCAACCCACAAGCGCTGGCGAATCGATGCATTCGGACTGCCATAAATAAAGGTTACAAGACAAACAACTTCTGTCTTTGTTACCCTAGCATGTACCATTTGACGTGAGTAAGAGAGTACCTCGAGACGTACCTCTCCATTCCACAGTATCCAAATACCCCCAGAAAACCCCTGAGCTTCAACTCGAAAAGAGTTCTCAAATTTGCTATATTTCACAAATTTATCTGCTTTCACCCCACTTATACGTGGTTCAAGAATAGCCATTACATCCGGCTTGTGCTGTTGGATTAGAGTTGAAAAAGCTCCCCGAAATTCAGGCGAGCCCGCACCCTGTACGTTCCATGAGATAATATTCATTTTTAAAACCAATATAAACTAAAATTTGGCGATCAATAATTAGTCGAGGAGCTGATCCGGATTTCCAGAACTCTCATCCATGTACATAATATTCCCAGGGCTGCCCTCCACGTCCCCTTGTAATTTTGGGTCCTCCGGCCACGGCTCCTGTCTTTGGACATTTTGCTCGCCCTCCGTCATTAGAAAATCATTAGCAGAATCCACCTGGATGGGGTTTGTGGACAGACCCTCTGATTCCTCCATCACAATACAGGCCTGGTGTTTGGACGGGTCTAACCCAGCACCCACTTGAATATGTCCTGCACGAGCTTGAGAAAGAATCCTGGGAGGGGACATATCGCAATCCTTTTGTGTTTCAATGTTTGTTTCCGGCCCCTGGTTGATTTCCGGATTCTGAGAATTAAATGTATTCGAGATGTCCTCATGTCCAGGTTCCTTTGTTATACCATTAACTGCTCCGGTTTTCTTGTTGTCATTGTTGGTCTTCCCTAGAGCCCTTCCCCGACCTTTAAACACACGCTTTCCACGCTCCCTCAGCACGCCCTTATCCTTTGTATTATTCACCGTTTTGTCCCCATTATCCTCAGAAGTGCTACCAAATTCAAACAGCTTGTTCTGGGCACTCGCCCTTTCTTGTTCCAATAATTCGAAGCGCGAGCCTGTCCCCGATGTTAATCTTTGATATCTGTCATATTGTGTCTTGTCCATGCCTTTATCTCGTCTAGTATACGGCTGCCGTGTACGCTGCGGTACCTGAATCCACGGACCGTACTTTGGTGTTCCGCTCCCTTCCTCCGTTGTCGACTGGGCACCCGAGCTGCCTTCCCCATCTTTAGTGGTCCTTGCACTAGCGGCAGGATGGGCGCCCTTGCGTGCAGCCTGTTCTTGGGGTTGCGTGTGGTAGAGGCAGCCGTTGCTCGCGTGGCCTATCCGACCGCACTGGAAGCAAATATTCGGTAAGTTTTCGTATACTACACGTTGTTGTCTTCCATTAATAGCAAAGCTCACACAAAGTGGTTTTGTTAAATCGACCATTACAGCGAGCCTAGCATATTTACCTCGAGTTAAAGCTGCAGTTTGTTGATCTATTTTTACCACCTTGCCCACAATTCGACCAATCGTTCGAAAAATCTTGTCGTGATACAGATGGGCCGGCAATCCGGGCAAGCGAACCCATGCTACTGTGGTTGTTAATTCTTCATTCATTGCATCAAATTCGAGAGTCCACGGCTGTACGTGCATATAGCTACTTCCAACCACATATGGGCCGCCAGTCAACACCCGAATCGTATCGTCATGATTCCGAAAATGTACTAGATAGAAGCCATTCTCTAGATCCATCATGGTGCACCCTGCCATGAAAGGCCACATCCTATTAAGTCGGTTGTACAGAGAAGCCATCGTGAGCATTTCATCAAAAGGCTTCAACACTACAGCATTCTGCCATTCTTTGTGGATTTGTTCAAAAAATTTCTTTGCAATCTTTATTTCGGGCATAGAGCTAGACATATCCACAAAGACGTCTTCATCCTCTTCTTTATCCTTCCCTACATCATCATATTTCAGCTCCACATGTTGTTTCTGATTATTCACCATATCTCGAAACGACCTTCTCTTTGGTTGCTGCTCCTTCTGAGTTACAGGCGACGACTCCTGTTCCTGGGGCATGTTCGGCGGCGACTCGGGTGTATTTTCGTTCAAAGGGCTCTGGTACTCCATGGGATCTCCTGAACATTTGCGAATATTTGATGAATATTTGACACTTTATTTACCACATATGTTGTAACTTGTAACTAGACATAAATAAATACTACCTCCTATTCTTTTTAAATGTCATTTTGGCTTTATCAACTATTAACCAAAATAAATGTCGTTTTGGATCTTTTGTACATATTTTTCTATTTTTACCCTCATTTAGTTAATAAATACACTACGTCTTTTCATATTCTCTTCATCTTTTTTTTTTAAAACATCCATCTCTATCTTCATTAATGAGGGTTAATATTGGCAAAAAAATTATTCTTAATTAGTGTGCAACTTCACAAAACGACACTTATTATGAATAGGAGAGAGTATGTAACACTTAAAAGCACAACACGATTGGGCCGTTGGCCTATTATCCTGTTAGGACCTCACATTCGGATATTAATCTGTTAGGGTCTTTTTAGTTTGTGCTTGGTAGTCGTGTAGTCGGTTATTTTAGTTGCGAGTGTTTTTTTCTAACGTTGCTAGTCGAGATTCTAGGCAGTCTTCTGACCTGTCCTCCCACTTTTTCAGCTGCTGGCTGCTGTGTATTCAGCAGTTGGCTACTGTATACTCGCACATTTGTGTATTTTGATTTATAATATTATCTATCTTTTTGAGAAAAATAAAAAATGCACAACATGATATTCCACTAGATAAAACAAGAATTCACATCCCCAACACATTCAAAATTCGAAAAATTTAGATATTCAACCTACTAATATAAAATATTATGTCAGAAAATAATCCGCGTGCACACCTATGACAGTCAAGTAAGCTCCACTTTGAACCATAAAATCCAACCACCATACCATCTTTATCCATATTACTCGAGTTGAAATAATTCCCAACCTCTCTACCAAAAGGTCCCCATGTCCTCTTCTTCGTATAAAACTTGAGCGACTTAATCGCATCAACTCCCTCCTCAATCGACCCGTAAAACCCCTCAACGCCAATCACCCAATCGTCCACGTCCAACTTAAGCTGCAAAATTTAATTCGATAAAAACTTTGGAAAACCAAATACAATAGGTCTATTACATATGTATATTTTCAGTAAGAAAAATAGACTTTAAAAAACAATATAAACATAAATTTAATATTTAATAGTATAAGTACTAGATATTTTAGCTCATATAATACAATATATAGATATGACTCATTGTTTAACCGTCTCACCCAAAAATTTATGCCCATCCTTTTCCTTTTTAAATGTCACACATAAATTAAGATTTTTTTTTTTCTTTTTAAATGGTCATTATGTCCCATAAATTAAAAAAAAAAATCTTGCCAATAATGAAGGTAACAATAGAAAAATGTGTATAACATATCCAAAACGTCATTTATTTATTTAATAAATTATCAATAAGCCAAAACAACAAATAAAAAGAATAAAAAGAAGTACCAAATAAAGCTCGGCATATCTCTCTGTTTTCCTCCGTGCTTTTATTTTGTGTGTCTTTCCTTTGGAGCAAATGTGGGTATATATAGAAAAAAATATGTTGTTGTTGGTTGGTATTTAATATGGTAATCGGAAATGGTTAGGAAGTTCACATTAATAGCACTCACATTATTATACTTAATAACTCATGGAGGCTTTAGAAATAATGGTTAAAATATACTACCACCTATTCTTTTTAAATGTCATTTTGACTTTATCAACTATTATCCAAATAAATGTCGTTTTGGATCTTTTGTACATATTTTTAATTCTGTGTATTACATAAAAAAAAAAACAATAACAAATAAAAAATTATTAAGTTTTGAAATATATTTATAATTTAAGCTGACCAAATAATTTATAATTTTTAAATTTACAATAGATATGGAATAAAATTCTAAAATATATATGAATTACTCCAACCATAATAATTTGACATATGAAATTATGAAGTACCAAAAATAATTAATAGACGCACTATATATCAAAAGCATCACAAATTGACACATAAATTTGAGAAATTCTGCATTTATATAGAAAGAGGTTTATTTTTAAATTAATTATTCGATTCTACAATTAATCCAACAATCCAAGTTAACCCAATGAATAAGTATGGGTGTGAATACAATTTTTAGTTATGTTATGGAAGTATTCAAATAAATTTTGATCCGTTTAGACGTACCATAATTTATCTATACGGATATTCTTATGTCCATTCAGATTCCAACATCACCTCAACTCTTCGCGCGAATCGAAGAATTCATAGGACTTCGAAACGTTTTTCTTGATAGCTACAGACGCTATAATTTCGAAAGCCTCCCATGAGTTATTATGGCACCTATTTATACAATGCAATATTGCTATTGCATGCATTTACAGCATCATATCATCAAATATTGAGTCCCAAATTGACTGCACTTTTTTAAGATGGTCCTCATTTTCTACCTTCTTTATCACTGTTGATTTTTCTTATTCTTAAAATAGTTATAATATATATTTATGTACTGTGCAGGAAAATGACGGGAGCTCAGGTGCTGACATGTCCATAAGGTCATGGGGCGGTCAATCCGGAAAGCCGTGGAATTGGAGGGCTGAATGTGGAATAAGTCAAATTATTATCCGTCATGGCGGCGTTATAGACTCAATCATGTGCAAAGGTCATGCCGAGCAGGCTACCACCAAAAGGTTTGGAGGAAAGGGTGGTGACAAAACCGAATTCGTAAGTGCGTGCGAATATAAAATAATTAAATATGAGCTACAATGTATACTTACACAATAATTAAATATAAATATTAACTTTTGTCGGTATAATGTTGGTATTAAATTTTGCAATTAAAACTCTTGTGGCTACAATCGAATTTTGTCGGTGTAATGTTAGAGAAGTTAAGAATTATGGACGCCAATTGTATTGATGATGTAGTCAATATCATTATGTACCATCATCTTCCTTGTCTATCAATCTTTTATTTTATTTTTTCCTTTTTTTTTTGTGTTACATTAATTTTGTTTCAGATTGATATCGATTATCCGAACGAGTTTCTGACGGGCATAAGTGGGACCGTGGGACATTACGGAAACAGTGAAAATGTAGTGACTTCCATTGAAATAATCACAAACCGATTCAAATACGGGCCTTTTGGGAAGCAAGTTGGCACACAATTTAGCTTCCATGCGGAGAATGGAGTGGTTATAGGCTTTCATGGTCGAGCGGACTCATACATGAACGCCATTGGTGTATACCTTAGGATGGTGTCAGTGAAGAAGGAATGGGAATTCGATAAGGTGGCCATGAAGAAGGAATCGAAAATCATTAAATTACCGATTCCTTTGCCACGAAGCCCCGGACCTTGGGGCAACGTGGAAGGAGGCAAACCATGGGATGATGGAGTCTTCTCCAAAGTCAAGGAAGTCAACCTTCACTTATGTCTCCTTAAAAATATCATATGTGGTGTCCAGTTTCTTTACGAGAGGAGGAATGGTTGCGACGTTCTTTCTCGTTTGCATGGTAGCTTGTATGGCGGAAGAATTGAAAAGGTAGGTTCGAAACCATTGACCCTTTTTTTTTTTTTGAAGTCCTTTGTACTCAATTTTTATAAAATTCAATTTTGCAGCTTAAGTTGGGCGACGATGATTTTGTGGTTGGCGTGGAAGTTTTTTACGGGCCAATTGAGGGGGTCGATGCAATTAAATCGCTCAAGTTTAATACGAAGAAGAAGGAATGGGGTCCTTTTGGTATGGAGGTTGGGAGATATTTCAACTCGAATATGGGTAGCAATGGAGTGGTGGTTGGGTTTTGTGGTTCATCAGGTGGAGCTAACTTGTATTGATAGGTGTATTTTTGACATATTTTTATGTTAGTAGATTGAATATCTAAACTAAGTCGATTGATGTTTTGGAATTTTGAATGTGTTAGGGATGTGAATTTTCGTTTTATCTAGTAGAAAATCCAATAGATGTTGATGCTTTTGAGTGTTATATTTATTTATGTCGTGTTATATATAACATATGTGATAAATAGCGGGTCAAATAACATGATGTGGGGATAAAAAAAAGATTGATTGGTGGATATAATGATGATTTATCCTAATAATCTCCATATGTGAGTGGAAGTTGTAAAACTAAAGGAAAATAAAGCAATGGGGAAAAAAATAATAAATGTGGCATCTAAATGCCTGGTTTGATTTATAATGGATTGTTGGAGCTTTATTTGGTTTACTGAGACCCTTTGAGTTGTTCACCGATTATAGATAATATAGTTGCATGTTTATTTCATTTGCCTTCTATTATATTATTTTGAATTCCTATGTTCGGTCAATGTTTGCTCATTCGTTAATTAGATACGCAACTCATTCTCATTCTACTATATTTGTATGGAGTGATCCTCCAAACTTCTTATCTCATTTGGTGTTGGACCATTTCAAGTAATTTGATGCAAGTTTGTTTAAAAAAAACTTATAAAATTGAGATAGTGGGAATGTGGTGTACTAACGTTGAAATTATCACTTAGTTTGGGTACTAAAATCGTAATTTACTCTATTTTTTTTCCTCAAAACAAAGGCCAATAATATTTCTTTTTATTCTAGCTTTTTTATTTTATTGATGATAACATATAGTTAACTTTATGAGTGACTAAAGTTCTAGACTATAGAATAAATTATAAATATTGATAGTTTAAATAATTAAAATACAATCCTCATCGCCACCTTTCTAATTATTTTCAAGCTTTATTTGTACCGTTCAATATTACTCTTGTAATTTCAATTTTAATCGCAAATAATATATGATAATTTTAAATTTTAAAATGCAATATTAATTTAATATTTGAAATATTTGTTAGTATATAATAGCAGAGGTATGATGTTTATATGTATTAAATTATTCAAACCTCATTTTTTATTTTGTTGGCTTTACTTTTTATTGATTCGTTTCTTCTGAATAAATATTCCCTCTATATGTAATTTCAGAATAGGTTGAGCTTATATGACAAACTCTCACGCTTATATAATTTCATGATTGATTTTTTTCTTCTTTACTTCTACAATTAGTTACCATAAATTATTTTATATTTCTTTTCCTTATATTACCATACATTACATTTTATTTTCCTATTTAATTCATTCATCAGTTATTATAAATGTTTCTTCTTCTTATTTTAAGATTTTATTTATTTTTTATATATTTTTATATATGATATATCAAAAAATGCTATATTGCAATAATAAATACAACGGTCAGACATTCCACTTAAAATCGCAACGAATAATACTCATTGGTATAGCGAATATATATATACATATTCTAACAAACTAGAAAAGTAGATCAGTTCATTTAGCCACTTCGTTATTTAAGAAAAATAAAATCTTATATTTAGAAATTGCACCTTATATTTATTGAATTGAATTTTTATCCCACAAAAAACGTTATTTATGTGTTTGTTTGATTCTTTTTTCCAATTTTGGTCACAAGGCCAATAAAGTTAACAATTTTCACCTGACCATTAGGTGAAGAACATATGAAAGGACAATATAAAGTACAAAAATATAAAATTTATTAAATATTATAAAATATAATTATTTGTCATACTTACTAATAAATATGAAAAAAAGTAATAAATAAAAATGTTATAATTAATAAACATGAATATAAAACTTTTAAAATTGTACTTATCGATTCAAACGAACTGAATTGTTCAATGCTTGTTAATTTTTTGTGCTTATTAGTTCTATGTGTAAGTTTTAGGTAATAGACAATAGTTATTTGTGCTTTTATCCATGTAGGTTAGAACTTTTATTTTTAAAAAAAAAAAAAAAAAAATTATTTTAATTTTAAATAACCTTTTATTTTCTTTTTTAATATAATAATAAATATCATATTACATATGGATATATTACCAGTATCCATCTATCCAATCTGTATTATGATAATAAAGCATTGTTTTTCTTTACAAAAATGTATGAAATTAATATATAATAAGACATATAAATTTCATAAATAATATTAAAAGTGTTATAATTGATTAAAATAAATATAATTTTTAAAACTTGTATTTATCAATATAAATGAGTTGAGTTGTAAGCATTTGTTAATTTTATGTGATTATTAATTCTATGTGTAAGGTTTAGGTGACAGACAATAGTTATTTGTACTTTTATCCATTTAGGTTAGAACTTCTAATTTTTTTTTAAAAAAAAAAAAAATTGATTGTTCTAATTTTAAATAACTTTTTTATTTGATATTGGTTTTTTAAATATAATATACAAATATCATATTACAATTATACAATACTAAATATTTTCATTATTTAATATTTAATATGTAAGAAATATAACTTGATTAAGAAATTAATAGGTAATCTTGAGTTAAAATAATGAGTGGTTTCTAAAACAATTACATGACTAAAAAGCCATGTGTTTAATGTACTTTTCAAAGAAAAATTGTAAAATTGATTAAGTAATAACAAAGATATCACATAAAAATTTAATGTTTAAGAATGAATAAATTAAAAAAAAAAAACCAACCGTAAGGTATTCCCCTGAAAATTCCAGCCGATATTTCATTGGTATGACTTTCATTGAAAATTTCATTGGCTATTCCAACGGAGATAAAGTTAAATTACATTAGAATTTAACTGATTAATTATTCTCATTACTATTATTTATTTTTGTGTGATTTTTCATTAGATTTTTCTCAGACAATATTTCAACCGTTAGAAAAACAGCCATTGGAATTGTAAAAAATTCAATGGAAATTTCATTGAAAAGCTAAATGCAGTGGAAGATCCAAAATAATTTCTTACAGGGGGGACTATATCATCAAAATAACATAATGTTTTTACAATTTATACTTTGTCATATTTTTCACCTGTGATACATTTTTAATACATCAATACAGTCACGACAAGTTAAAATATATTAACAAAAAAATATAATTTTTCTTCAACATAATAAAATCATTGAAAATTATATATTTTTTAAAATTTTTATGAAAAAAATATTTAGGTTGTGGTATAGTTGACTCGACAATATAATTGATGAATTTGTAAATTATTAATATATAACTATAACACATACATTAGTTAAAGAAGTCATGAAAAAAGTTAGAGAAAAAATATGTTGCAAAAGAGAGAATAGAAGCTATCATCGAGATTAAAATAAATAAAATTAAATTAAAAAGGTGAAATTGTAATTTCTAGATTTATCATATTTTATTTAGTAATTTGTCATATTTCTCACTTGTAATATATTTTTAATACATCAATACAGTCACGATAAGTTAAAATAAATTAACAAAAAAACATAATTTTTCTTCAACATAATAAAATCATTGAATATAATATATTTTTTAAAATTTTTATGAACAAAAAATTTTATGTTGTGGTATAGTTGACTCGGCAATATAATTGATGAATTTTTCAATTATTAATATATAACTATAAATTTATATACATTCGCTAAAAGAGACATGAAAAATGTTAGAGAAAAAATATGTTGCAAAAGAGAGAATAGAAGCTATCATCAAGATTAAAAAAAAAAATTAAAAGGGTGAAATTATAATTTCTAAATTTATCATATTTTCTTTAGTTGTGATACTGTGTTTATGGTATAACTTTAATAAAGTTATGAGCTGAATTAAATTATAATTGGTTGAGTCACAAATTAATTCATTATTTATCTTTCTTTCTTTTAATTTTACTTTCTGAATATGGGGCATGAATAAAATTATGAAAAATATTCCCATAATTTTTGTTAAATACATTATGCTATATGTTTTGGGAAGTAGCCATATGTCGATCGTATTAAAAAAAAATGGATCTGCCCATGATTCTAACAAAATATTTTTATTATATTTTTTATTGAAATAATTCAAACGAAAGGAATAACATTTAAATATTCGTTAGAATTGGTATTAATTTTTTAGTTAAATATTTCATGACTTTCTAACATTAAATTTTTGACTTTCGAAATACTTAATACTTTTTTATTTATTATCCTTTTATATGTAATACATCACATAATTTCTTTCCAATGATGTTTGATTTGATAATTTATTGTAAATAAAATAAAAATATTATAATTATTTATAACAATATAACATAATATACACATATATATATATTATCAATACCAATTAAAAATAATAAATGGACCTAAAAAATATCTCATAAAATAGATTATAATCATACCAATTTGAATGAAATTATATTTTGATAGAAATATCTACAATTTTATTGGAGTAGTGACACGGTTGATTATTCACAGAGATATTCATTAATTGTTATTAGCAATACTTTATAAAGATCATAATCATAAAGTTTGACTATATGTTTGGACAAAATATTTTGCATTGTTTGAATAAAGTAGACTTTTTGCCTAATGACTTAAGAAGAAATTGCCTATTGATGTATAGAATTCGAATCGGTATGAATGTTTTTATTATGAGAACGTCAAAACTAAAATGAAAGAAAATCACTCTTGAATCATCAAACATAAAAAAAAAAAAGAACTAATGCATTTATAATATACATTGTCTTTATTTAGTTATTTAGTGTCTTTTTTTAAAAAAAAAATTATGGATTCATTTTTCATGTATTTTTGTCGGGGTTGTAATATGTTATTTTATTTTTTTATATTAGTACATCGTTATGTTATATTTGAACAAAAAAATACATTAGGAGCTAGCTCATTTGTTCTACATTTTATTTTATCCCTGCAATGATATGTTTAATAAATTAATTAATTTATTTTACTAAACTTAATCGGCAAAAAAAACATCGGCACCACGTGCGATGCACGTGCACTTTACTAGTTAATAACAAAAGAATGTAAATAATACTGCAATAATTGCTTCTTCTTTTTTATTGTAATGGGTACTTCTTTTGAAAAAAAAAAAAAAATCCCGGATAGAGATTAGGAAAGATTGATCATTTGTATCGGTTTGTGACTTCTTATGTCCATTCAGATTCCAACATCACCTCAACTCTTTGAACGAATCGAAGAATTTATAGGACTTCGAAACGGTTTTTATGACAGGTTTCGGGAAAGTCAAGAGGCCATTGATAATGATAGCTATAAACCGTTGAATTTCGAATGTCAATATTGCAATTGCATGCATTAATTTGTATTTAATTAGAGTATCATATCATCACATTTTGAGTCCACATTTTGAATCCCAAATCGACTGCACTTTTTTAAGATGGTCCTCTTTTTCAACCTTCTTTAGATTTTTCTTATTCTTTAAAGTCCTTAATTGATAATATATACGAATATGTAGCATTTGCAGGCAAACGAGTATTGGAGCTCAGGTGAAGAGATATCCGTAAGGTCATGGGGGGGCCAATTAGGAAAGCCTTGGAATTGGAGGGCTAAATTTGGAATAAGGCAAATTATTATCAGTCATGGCGATATAATTGACTCGATCGTGTTCAAAGACCATGCCGAGGCTACCACCAAACGTTTTGGAGGAAAGGGTGGTGATATAACTGACACCGTGAGTGCGAATAAATTAATTTTTTCTTTTTATTTTTATTTTTAAAATTTTCTGTCCGTACGTCCTCTGTATTTTGTTTCAGATTGATATCGATTATCCATACGAGTTTGTTACGGGCGTAAGTGGGAGTGTGGGACATTACTACGACAATGGAAAAGTAGTGACTTCCCTTAAAATAATTACGAATCGTTGCAAATACGGACATTTTGGGAAGGAAGTTGGCACGTACTTTAGTTTCCATGCCGAGAATGGAGTGATCATAGGGTTTCATGGGCGGGCAGACTCGTACATTAACGCCATTGGTGTCTACGTTAGGAAAATAAAGTTGCCAATTATGGAATCGGACAATGTGGATGGAGGCAAACAATCTGATCGAGAATATGAAATAGTCTGAATAACCTATGTGGGGATGAAAAAGATGAAAATTTGTATATTTGCTTGGCTAGTTGAGTATTGGCAGCATTGGCCTTCAAGTTTTTTCTTATGCATTTTTAATTATTGATGAATAGCATTGGCCTTTAAATTTATTTGGTTTTGTTGGATTTTTTGGTCTGGTTTGGTTAATTTTGAGAAAGGTAGTATGGTTAATTGTTAGTGGGTATATTAAAATAATATTTAAAATAAAATAATAAAATGTAAAAGTAAGAGATTATAATAAAATAAACTAATTAATTTTAAATTCATTGTCAGACCTCTTAAAATTACATAAATAATTGTAATTATAATTTTAATATTTTTTATCTAATTCATTGATAATAATACCTTAAAACTACAAAAGTTATATAATTAGTCATTACATTTTGTACAAATAATTATTGATTAAACTTTTAAAATATAATAACATCATTTAATTTATAATTTTAATATTATATAATACATATAATTTATAATACTTTATTCAAATGTTTGTACGATCGAATACTAGTTTCGTATGAGCAGCTAAAATCACTTTCATATATTCATTGAAGAACAAGACAACGACCTCGTAAAATGCAAATTCATTTCCATATAAGGTCAATCAACATTCAACCCATCTCCATCAACATTATTTTTTTATCCTTCAATCAGATATGGAATTAACATAAATTGGACAGCGGTCATAGAAAATTACACATGTTAACATATGCATAAAGTTATAGCTTGTGAGTTGAGAGAGGGAGAGAGGAAATTACTGACATTTCAAGATTTTTATAGATTATCATCTTCTTCCTCTATTGTATTGAGACATGAGAGTACAAGTTTGAAGCCTGAACATAAAACCAAGAAACTAAAATAGCCCATTAATGAAAATCCACTCTTGATTGCAAAATCCAATACAGGGGTCGTATTTATTTATTCGATTACGTTACATTTTCTGGTAATTCGGACTGATTTCGATTCTTTTCTTTTTACCTTTTATCCGAAACGCAAACAGCAGAGCATGGCGACATTCCTTGGTAAGTAAGTTATGTGTTTAGCTTAAAAATCTTGTCTTTTATTTTTCTATCATCTTGCTAGCCTTTGGTTCTTTCATTTTAATCTTTCGGGCTTTTCTTGTTTGTTTTACTGACTTGTATATTATCCGGGTTTGATGTAATTTGTGAAAATTGTTCTCCTCTTGAGACATTTACCCGTATTTTCCTCTTTCTCTGGACTCTTATATCAGCTTATCTTCTCTCTCTTCATCTCTGATCTGAGATCCTCTATTTAGGACTGTGTTTGCTCCTCCAAAGTGTTGACAGTTTCACGTTTTTTTTTTATTATTTTTATTTTTATTTTTTTTCGACTTTGGACCAAAATCTCGCCAATATTGTCTGCCTGGCTTTTACCTTTTCTTCATCTTTTTTCAATTTTCCCCTTCGCAATTTGTGTTCTGCCATCACTAATTTTACAGTATGAACTTACTTTTATAAGCCTCTCTTCTTATTTGTCAAATGGCCTGATTGTTTACAATCCTCTCTTCCCCCATGGATAAGATTCTCTTACATTCTGGTTAGCATTAGTCGCTTCTGTATTTGCATTTAATATATTAATTCTCAGATGGGTTTTGAGTTTTTCAGTTTCTTTTACGTAATTCCTTGCTGTTTAGAAAATTTTTTCAATGAAAATTAGTTCTTTCTTAACATGTTCTCTATCATGGTTTTGCAAAAACATTAAATATATATCATGTTTGCTTTTTAGACAGGGCTCCTCAGTTTCATTAGTCTCGATTTCGATCCATCGATGTTGTCTTAAAAAAGGGATCTTTTTTTCCGAAGAAATGGAAAACTCTCGCAATTCGCATAGCAATGGGTATTTTGCATTGCCTTGGTTCGCTACACGTGTGTTTTTCGTTAAAATCGGCAATTTCGTTCTCGACAATTCTACCCCTGAATGTATAACTTTAAACCACGTCCCTTTGAGCCCGGACACAATCCTCGAAGTTAATGGAAAACGATGTTCGATGGACTCAGAAGGAATTTCATGCATTCTTAGACGAGACAGAGTTGATAAAAAATCCGAAGAAGCTACATTTGTCAGCACAGACAGCATAAGATTCACGGGTAGCGTGAGATTTGAAGTGTTCGATAAAGAGGACCTCGTTATATCCGGGGTTTTCGAAATGTCAGGTATTTTCGNCTTTTCGAAAAAAAAAAAAAAAAAACTGAGTTGTGTTATTATTATCAGAGTTATATAATTAGAAGAGAACTAATTTTGTAGTTTTCCAAAGGTACCAATGGCTTTACGGGGGAGTCGAACAATAGTGCCAAGAAATGGAGCATGAATTGTGAATCGGCTATCTGTAATGGTGTGGGATTTTTGAAAGGAAAACGAATCGTGAGTTCGAAATCTTTATTATTGCCCAAGATTGAAGTTTATGTGGCTGGCTGCTTTTCGGGTATCCCGATTATACTGACGAAGACTATACAAGTTTGTAGCCGCCAAAAGCATAGAAAGGGAATGCTAAACACAATTCCCGAATATGATGCTACTGAAGAAGAACTCCATGATGATGATGATGAGTCTGGGCATGATTTGCAGGTAATATGTCTTAGCAGAAACTTTAGATTGTCTTTGAGTATTTCAAATTTATTACTTCTCTCTTGGAACAAAATCACTATAGCACAATTTGAACTGTGGGTTTGCTGCCTGCCTCCTCTCAAGAAACATGTTTTTTTTTTACATTTTTAATAATGGATCAATGACCTTAGGACAATACCAACAAGATGTTATCCAGTTATCCTTAGCATGGAATAAGGCATGGGCAAGCACACATATTAAAGAAGATAAGTTAAATATATCTTCATTTCCTGTCTCTTTTTGTACAGTTATAGCAAGAGACTAATGAATTGGTCCCATTGTGAGAAAAACTAAGTATATCTTGAATTGTGGGGGGCTCCATGACAGCTGAGCTCACTTTTTAAACTTTTTTGGGGTTTATCCTCTGTACAAGACATAGGCTTTATACATGACACTTTCAGTTTGTTTTTTTCTTGAAGAATTTTCATTTAGTTTCAGGCATAATTTTGTTTCTAACTATATTAGTGCCCACGAATTTCATCCATAAACGATAAATTTCCT